TGTTCCTGTTGGTGTTCCTGTTGATGTTCCTGTTGGTGTTCCTGTTGGTGTTCCTGTTGATGTTCCTGTTGGTGTTCCTGTTGGTGTTCCTGTTGATGTTCCTGTTGGTGTTCCTGTTGGTGTTCCTGTTAAGAATCCTAACATAATCCTATGTTTTGTTTTAGAGATTTGAACTTCAACAGACTGGTGGAGTTCCCTGCGGCCCTTGGTTCCCTCGGCCTCCTGAAGGAACTGTGAGTCCAGATCAGTGAGGTTCCTCGTTTATCTTGACATGGAAACATTTGCTCCATCGTTACCTCTCCGTCCCGTTTCCTGTTTCTAGGAGTTTCCATAACAACAACATCAAGTCCATCCCGGAGCACGCTTTCTCTGGAAACCCGTCTCTGACCACCGTGTAAGAACGGTGACTGTGGTCACCAGGCTCATGCTAAAGCTAACTGTGCTAATAATTTGCCCCTGCCCCTGCCCCTGCCCCTGCCCCTGGGCCTATACTCCTGACTGATCTGTTTCTGCAGACATTTCTACGACAACCCCATTGCCTCTGTTGGTACCTCAGCGTTCCAGAACCTTCCAGAACTTCGGTCGTTGTGAGTAAACCCTCAGATGATTGTGAGATGTTTCTGATCCTCCAAACCCACTGGACTGTTGGACTGTCACTGTCACAGGTCTCTGAATGGAGCAGCAGATCTGACCCAGTTCCCAGACCTGACAGGAACCAAAAGTCTGGAGAGTCTGTGAGTCCACAGCTGCTAGAACCTTCTGGAACCATCTGTGTTTATCTCCAATTAGAGCAATTCTGTTGTTGTGACTGATGAACACCCTGTGTGTGTGTGTGTGTGTGTGTGTGTGTGTGTGTGCGCACTGGTATAGAACCATTACAGGGACCCAGATCAGTTCTCTGCCCCCCACAGTGTGTGAAAACCTCCCAAAGCTGCAAGTACTGTAAGTATGGTTGGATGAAAGGGTGGATGTTGGATGGATGTTGGATGGATGGATGGTTGGTTGTATGGATGTTGGATGGATGAATGGGTGGCTGGATGAATGGATGGATGTTGGATGGATGGATGGTTGATTGGATGGATGTTGGATTGATGAATGGGTGGATGTTGGATGGTTGGTTGGATGAATGGATGAATGTTGGATGGTTGGTATGAATGGATGGATGTTGGATGGATGGATGGTTGATTGGATGGATGTTGGATTGATGAATGGGTGGATGTTGGATGGTTGGTTGTATGAATGTTGGATCGATGGTTGGTTGGTTGAATGGATAGGTGGATAGATGGATGGATGGATGGTTGGTTGGATGTTGGTTGGATGGTCAGACTGTCTTACCCACTGTGTCCTCTCTCTGCAGAGATCTCTCCTCTAATCAGATCCAGACTCTTCCCAGTTTCTCTGGTTGTGAGAACATCCAGAAGATGTGAGGTTCACTTTAGTCTGGACTAGTGAGACCAGTGACTGGACCAGTTCTCTGTTACCACTGATAAACATACGGGTGTGTGTGTGTGTGTGTGTGTGTTTCATAAAGTGACCTGCACCATAACCAGGTGGTGGCGCTCCAGGAGAACACGTTCTATGGTCTGAAGTCTCTCACCTCTGTGTAAGTCCAACAGTCAGAGGAGAACCTGGAACTGTGTTATGTTAATAACTGTGTTACTAACTGTGTTAATAACTGTGTTAATAACGGTGTTAACAACTGTGTTAATAACTCTGTTAACAACTGTGTTAACAACTGTGTTAAAAACTGTGTTAACAACTGAGTTAGCAACTGGGTTAATAACTGTGTTAATGACTGTGTTAACAACTGTGCTAACAACTCTGTTAATAACTCTGTTAACAACTGTGTTAATAACTCTGTTAATAACTCTGTTAACAACTGTGTTAGCAACTTTGTTAATAACTGTGTTAAGAACTGTGTTAACAACTGTGTTATTAACTGTGTTAACAACTGTGCTAACAACTCTGTTAATAACTCTGTTAACAACTGTGTTAACAACGGTGTTAACAACTGTGTTATTAACTGTGTTAACAACTGAGTTAGCAACTGGGTTAATAACTGTGTTAATGACTGTGTTAACAACTGTGCTAACAACTCTGTTAATAACTCTGTTAATAACTCTGTTAACAACTGTGTTAGCAACTGTGTTAATAACTGTTTTAATAACTGTGTTAACAACTGTGCTAACAACTCTGTTAATAACTCTGTTAACAACTGTGTTAAAAACTGTGTTAACAACTGTGCTAACAACTCTGTTAATAACTCTGTTAACAACTGTGTTAGCAACTTTGTTAATAACTGTGTTAATAACGGTGTTAACAACTGTGTTAGCAACTGTGTTAATAACTCTGTTAACAACTGTGTTAAAAACTGTGTTAACAACTGTGCTAACAACTCTGTTAATAACTCTGTTAATAACTCTGTTAACAACTGTGTTAACAACGGTGTTAACAACTGTGTTAACAACGGTGTTAACAACTGTGTTAAAAACTGTGTTAACAACTGAGTTAGCAACTGGGTTAATAACTGTGTTAATGACTGTGTTAACAACTGTGTTAACAACTGTGCTAACAACTCTGTTAATAACTGTGTTACTAACTGTGTTAATAACTGTGTCACCAACTGTGTTAACAACTGTGCTAACAACTCTGTTAATAACTACGTTAACAACTCCGTTAACAACTACGTTAATAACAACTATAATGATTCATTTCTGCAGTTAGCAGACGCTCCTTTCTGAAACAACTGACAGGAGGAGGTTAGCATTATCAACTAGGTTCCTCTGGGAATCGAACCCAGGACTCTCTGCTTCAGAGGCAGTGGTGCTTCTCAGCCTTGATTATTAGCAGCTATTCTAAAGTCAACCACATGGAGGCGCTCACAGCCCTGTGTCCTTTCACTCCACACAGTGACCTGTCGTGGAACCGACTCCAGTGGGTGTGGCCAAACTCCCTCTCCTCCCTCCCTGCTCTCACCAGACTGTGAGTCCTCAACAGAACCAGGACTGAAGTTCTGAGGTTCTCAACAGAACTCAACAGGTGTGTTCTCACCTGTCGTCCTCACAGGGACCTGTCGTCCAATCAGCTCACGTCTCTGCCTGTAAACGGTCTGCAGACTGTGACTCACCTGCGATTGGCTGGAAACGATCAGCTGACGGAGTTAATAGACCCGGAGCATCTGCCCCGAGTCAGGTGTGTGTGTGTGTGTGTGTTCATCTGAACTGGAACATGACTGGATGAAGAACTGCATGCTGGGATGTTTGACCACCATCATGGTTTTCCAGGAAGGGGGTGAGGATGATCACACACCTCCACTGTGATGTGTGTGTTTTCAGGGTGATGGAGCTCCCCAACGCCTTCCAGTGCTGCGCCTTCATCTCCTGTCAGGGGGGAGGAGGGGGAGGAGGGGGAGGGTTGGTCTGGGAAAGAGAGGACTTCGCAGGAAGAGACAGCACCGAGGTCTCCAGTCCAGGTGAGCCCTGACACTGACAGTTGACATGTTTCAGACCAGGACCATGATCAGGACTGGTCCATCGGGTCCATCAGGTCTGTGGACCTACAGTAGTTCTACAGACCTACTGTAGGTCTGTAGACCTACTGTAGGTCAGACGTGATGAGTGTGTATGTGGTCAACGTCTGGACCAGTGTAGACCAGTGTCAAGTACAACAGACCAGTGTGGACCTGTCTCTCTGCAGTGGATCAGAACTGGGACAAAGTTCTAGTGGAGTTCCATGAAGAACCCAAACCTCAGCACCCGGTCCACTGCACCCCTGCACCAGGTAACAGCAGGAAACAGCCCCTCCCCCACCCTCGAGCCCTGACCCCTGACCCCTCCCCACACTGAAAGCTGAGTGTCATCTGTGATGTTGGGCGACAGGTCCGTTCCGTCCATGTGACCATCTGTTTGGCAGCTGGTTGGTCCGTGTTGGCGTCTGGGTTATCGTCGCAGTCTCGTTGGTCAGCAACTGCCTCGTTGTGCTCTCGATCTTCTTCTCCCCCACCGGTTTGGTCACGCCCCCTAGGCTCCTGATTGGTCTCCTGGCTGTGGTGAACAGCCTGATGGGAGTGTGGTGCGGCTGGTTAGCAGCAGTCGATGCCTGGACCTTTGGGAACTTCTGGAGGTACCGACCTTGAAGGTTCCTCAGCAGGTTGTAGCTCCAGTTCTTTGAGCCCCAGTCCTGACCCTGTTGGTGGTGTGTTCAGGTACGGCTCCAGGTGGGAGAGCAGCGTCCTGTGTCGCCTCAGTGGCTCCCTGTTTGTGTTTGCGTCCCAGACTAGTCTCTTCCTGCTAACAGTCGCTGTGCTAGAACGATACCTGACCTCCAACAGTCGGCACCGTGACCCCCCCCAAGCCCCCCCCCCATGACCCCCGCCATGAGGCCCGCCATGACACCTGCCATGACACCCACCATGAGGCCCGCGATGACACCCGCCATGACACCCGCCATGACACCCGCCATGAGGCCCGCCATGACACCTGCCATGACACCCACCATGACACCCGCCATGACACCCGCCGTGAGAACAAAGGTAAGAATTTGATCATCAACTTTTTTTCACATCAAACTTTAAATATTTTAGCTTTTGAGGATTATCAGCCTGATACATGATAGTGATGGTTAGTCTGTGATGGTTGGTCCGTGATAGTTAGTCCATGATAGTTAGTCCATGATAGTTAGTCTGTTATGGTTAGTCCATGATAATTAGTCCATGATAGTTAGTCCATGATGGTTAGTCCATGATGGTTGGTCCGTTATAGTTGGTCCATGATGGTTGGTCCATGATGGGTAGTCTGTTATGGTTAGTCCATGATGGTTGGTCCATGATGGTTGGTCCATGATGGTTAGTCCACGATGGTTAGTCTGTTATGGTTAGTCCGTGATGGTTAGTCTGTTATGGTTAGTCCATGATAATTGGTCCATGATAGTTAGTCCATGATGGTTAGTCCATGATGGTTGGTCCGTTATAGTTGGTCCATGATGGTTGGTCCATGATGGGTAGTCTGTTATGGTTAGTCCATGATGGTTGGTCTATGATAGTTAGTCCATGATGGTTAGTCCATGATGGTTAGTCCATGATGGTTGGTCCATGATGGGTAGTCTGTTATGGTTAGTCCATGATGGTTGGTCTATGATAGTTAGTCCATGATGGTTAGTCCATGATGGTTGGTCCATGATGGGTAGTCTGTTATGGTTAGTCCATGATGGTTGGTCCATGATGGTTGGTCCATGATGGTTGGTCCATGATGGGTAGTCTGTTATGGTTAGTCCATGATGGTTGGTCTATGATAGTTAGTCCATGATGGTTAGTCCATGATGGTTGGTCCGTTATAGTTGGTCCATGATGGTTGGTCCATGATGGTTAGTCCACGATGGTTAGTCTGTTATGGTTAGTCCATGATGGTTGGTCTATGATAGTTAGTCCATGATGGTTAGTCCATGATGGTTAGTCCATGATGGTTGGTCCGTTATAGTTGGTCCATGATGGTTGGTCCATGATGGTTAGTCTGTTATGGTTAGTCCATGATAATTAGTCCATGATAGTTAGTCCATGATAGTTAGTCCGTGATGGTTAGTCCATGATAGTTAGTCTGTTATGGTTAGTCCATGATGGTTGGTCTATGATAGTTAGTCCATGATGGTTAGTCCATGATGGTTAGTCTGTTATAGTTAGTCCATGATGGTTGGTCCATGATGGTTGGTCCGTGATGGTTGGTCCGGGATGGTTGGTCCGTGATAGTTAGTCCATGATGGGTAGTCTGTTATGGTTAGTCCATGATAGTTAGTCCACGATAGTTAGCCCATGATAGTTAGTCTGTTATGGTTAGTCCATGATGGTTGGTCCGTGATAGTTAGTCCATGATGGGTAGTCTGTTATGGTTAGTCCATGATGGTTGGTCCATGATAGTTAGTCCATGATGGTTGGTCCGTTATAGTTGGTCCATGATGGTTGGTCCATGATGGTTGGTCCGTGATGGTTGGTCCGTGATAGTTAGTCCATGATGGGTAGTCTGTTATGGTTAGTCCATGATAATTGGTCCATGATAGTTAGTCCATGATAGTTAGTCCATGATGGTTGGTCCGTGATAGTTAGTCCGTGATGGTTAGTCTGTTATGGTTAGTCCATGATAATTGGTCCATGATAGTTAGTCCATGATAGTTAGTCCACGATAGTTAGCCCATGATAGTTAGTCTGTTATGGTTAGTCCATGATGGTTGGTCCGTTATAGTTGGTCCATGATGGTTGGTCCATGATGGGTAGTCTGTTATGGTTAGTCCATGATAGTTAGTCTGTGATGGTTAGTCTGTTATGGCTAGTCCATGATGGTTGGTCCATGATGGGTAGTCTGTTATGGTTAGTCCATGATGGTTAGTCTGTTATGGTTAGTCCATGATAGTTAGTCCACGATAGTTAGTCCATGATAGTTAGTCCGTGACGGTTAGTCCATGATAGTTAGTCCATGATAGTTAGTCCACGATAGTTAGTCCCTGATAGTTAGTCTGTTATGGTTAGGCCATGATGGTTGGTCCATGATGGTTGGTCCATGATGGTTAGTCCATGATAGTTAGTCCACGATAGTTAGCCCATGATAGTTAGTCTGTTATGGTTAGTCCATGATAGTTAGTCCACGATAGTTAGCCCATGATAGTTAGTCTGTTATGGTTAGTCCATGATGGTTAGTCTGTTATAGTTAGTCCATGATGGTTAGTCCATGATAGTTAGTCTGTGATGGTTAGTCTGTTATGGCTAGTCCATGATGGTTGGTCCATGATAGTTAGTCCATGATAGTTAGTCTGTTATGGTTAGTCCATGATAATTGGTCCATGATAGTTAGTCCATGATAGTTAGTCCGTGATGGTTAGTCCATGATAGTTAGTCCATGATAGTTAGTCCACGATAGTTAGTCCATGATAGTTAGTCCGTGATGGTTAGTCCATGATAGTTAGTCCACGATAGTTAGTCCATGATAGTTAGTCTGTGATGGTTAGTCTGTTATGGCTAGTCCATGATGGTTGGTCCATGATGGTTGGTCCATGATGGTTAGTCCATGATGGTTGGTCCGTTATAGTTGGTCCATGATGGTTGGTCCATGATGGGTAGTCTGTTATGGTTAGTCCATGATAATTAGTCCATGATAGTTAGTCCATGATGGTTGGTCCATGATGGGTAGTCTGTTATGGTTAGTCCATGATAGTTAGTCTGTGATGGTTAGTCTGTTATGGTTAATCCATGATGGTTGGTCCCTGATGGTTAGTCCGTGATGGTTGGTCCGTGATGGTTGGTCCGTGATGGTTGGTCCGGGATGGTTGGTCCGTGATAGTTAGTCCATGATGGTTAGTCTGTTATAGTTAGTCCATGATGGTTAGTCCCTGATGGTTAGTCCATGATGGTTAGTCTGTTATAGTTAGTCCATGATGGTTGGTCCGTTATAGTTGGTCCATGATGGTTGGTCCATGATAGTTAGTCCATGATGGGTGGTCCATGATGGTTGGTCCGTGATGGTTGGTCCGGGATGGTTGGTCCGTGATAGTTAGTCCATGATGGTTAGTCTGTTATAGTTAGTCCATGATGGTTAGTCCGTGATGGTTAGTCCATGATAGTTAGTCCATGCTTCCACTCCTAGCATTAGCGCTGGTATTATCGTCCAAACTTTTTGGAAAGTCTGACGTCGCACTCTTTCTTCGTAGGTCACTCCTCTTCACAGATTTTCATCCGTCTCTCCGTCCTCCTGTGTTTCCTGTTGGGTTTGGCTGTGACTGTGCCTCCCCTAGTGGCAGGCCATGGTAGCACCTCCCTCTGCCTTCCGCTGGCCTCCTCCTCACCCGGCCTGGCGTCCTCAGTCTTTCTTGTGCTGGTGGACTCGCTGTGTCTCCTGGTCATGACGATTGTCTACACCTGTCTCTACTGCAGCTCCCACAGAGCTCCTCCCCCGGAGGAGGAGGCGGCGTTGACGCGTCACATCGCCTGGCTGCTCTTCGCTGACTGCCTTCTTCTCGTCCCAGTGGCCTTCCTCTCTTCTTCATCCCTGTTACGCCTCCCAGTGGCCGGGCCAGAAGCTGCAAAAGCAATGCTACTCCTGGTGGCGCCGCTGCCCGCGTGCGTCAACCCTCTCCTCTTCCTCCTCTTCAACCCAGTGGCCAGAGAGGAGCTGGCAGCACTGGTCAAATGCCCTGGTGGTGGAGTGGTAAAACTACAAAGACAAGGCCCCACCAACGATGAAGACGCAGAGAAGCAGTCATGTGACTCGACCCAGGCCCTGGTCGCACACGGTCGTTCCAAGGAGGAAGAAGAGGAAGAGGAGCGACAAAGAATTCTGACTAAATCTCTTCATCTGGTGCGATAGTCGATCACAGAGCCACCGATCTGACCGGCTGGCCGTCAGGTGGTCCCAGACCCCCGCCCCCCGTGTTGGACCGATGTTCTGACTTCAGAAGAACCACGCTGAGCTAATCCAGAATTTAGAAACAGGCTGGTGAACAACAATCTTTTGGCTGATCGTTAGCTATATTTTAGTTATAGTTTTAGTTATATTTTGGCTGACTGTTACCTAGTTTGGTCGAGGCTTTTAATAAATCAAACAAATAAAACATCAAATAAATACCAGTGATCGCAGGAGTTTATATTTAATACCCAGTTGTTTCTGTTTTCTTTCTTTCCTTGTATTCCCTGAATATATTTAATTACCTTGGAAACTCAAACCCTCTCCACTCAGATAAAGTAACCCTGACCTTTGACCTGACCCGAGCCTGAAGGTCAAGTCTGTTTTATTCTGATGGTGCAAAATACTCAAACACGCCACCAAATGTTCGAGCTAACGCTGTTTACGCCGCCTGTGTTTGGACTGACGGGTCAGTGTGAGAACTGGCGCCGCGGCGTGACTTCTGTCATCGAGCCTCCAACATCGAGCCTGTCTGTTCACGGCCCAGTCCGTGTGGGGAGGACCAGAGGTCAAGGAGTGGACCAGTCACATGACCACAAAGTTACTGAGACGCTGGTCTGGTCTCCTGGACTCAAGGACCACCTGGAAAAGGGTTCAAGGCCCATGGTCACCAGATTCACACCGCAGCCCAACTTTGGCCTGTGCTGCCACCTGCTGGTATAGGCGTTAAATACATTTATTTTTCTGTTTAGTTTAGTTGGTTTAACTGTTTGTTGATTTAAGATCAAATAGTTAAAAATCCAAACAAAACAAATTCACAGAAGATGAACATTTTATTTTTTTAAAAACACAAAGTTAGATATAAAAACACTTTGATCTGATTGGTTAACAGTGGTTTGAGCTTTTGTTAAATTCAAACCGTCCTCGGAGGAAGTCGGTGATTTTAGCTCTCGGCCCAGTGCTGCCTCCTGTGGTCGGGTTTTGACCACACACTTCACTGTTGTGTTGGTGTGGGCCGTACGCCTGGGGTTGTGGGTTGAAATCCAGATCCGGTTGAAGCTGGACAGAATGCTGTGTCACAGGAGGATTAAGACGACTTCCTGTGTGTGACCTGATCTAGGTCACACACACACACACACACACACACACACACACACACACACACAGATATAATGACATAACTATGACAACTGTCTAACTAACCCTAATCCTAATCCTAACTTGTCTAACCCTAATTCCAAACTGATCCTCGACCTCAAACTGTCTGTCCCTCAGTGGACACCTGGAAATGTCCCCACAAGTAGAGCTTAGAAAACACACACACACAACTGCATGTGTGTGTGTGTTTTCTAAGTGTGTGTCAGGTGTGTGAACCTTTTCCTGTTCAAAGCTCAAAGTCCAGGTGAGACAAAGAGATTCCACTGACGCCACCAAGAGGAAGAGGAAGAAGAAGAAGGAGAAGAAGGAGAAAAGAGTCTGTTTGTCCAGCAGGATCTCAGAGGACAGACCGAGTCCGGACGGGTCGGCAGAACTTCCTCCAGGACTTATTCCGGGGTCTGCTTCATCGATGGACTGTACCTGAGGACGGTGGGAACAACAGCTCACCGCTGATCCAGGACGGCCGCCATCTTGGAGACACGCAGGTGTGTGTGCTGTCGTCGGAGCGCAGTCAGAACCGCACAGGTTTATGTCTCCGCCTGTGTGAGACGCAGTACTACAAATACTGGGTCTGGACCCAGGAACTGTACTCTGAGTTTGTAGTAATCTGTGAATGTAGTACTCTGGTGTACTGGTCTAGTACTGGTCTAGTACTGGTCTAGTACTGGTCTAGTACTGGTCTAGTACTGGTCACCTGATGGTCAGTGAATCAAAAACGGACTTTTTGTGAAATCCTTCTTCATCCGATCCCGTCCCTGATTCCGTTCCTGTCTTTGCCGTGTACCTCAGGTTCTGCAGTTAGAACGTCTGTGGTACTGACCCCGCATGGAACCTGGACCGAGTCGTCTCCCCGTCCAGGTACTGGGTGAAAATGAGGCGCTGCAGCAGTTCTTCAGCGGTGAGTGGAGTCCGCCTGACGTTTTAGAAGATGTCGTGACATGGATCACCGTCCTCGAGATACGACCAACACAAACACCGTCTGTAAAACTGACCTGACGTGGGTGTCTGTTTGTGTGGGTGTAGGTCAGGACGTGGGCCGGGTGTTGGACAGCTGTGTTCCCGTGGACACCAGTATCCTGGAGCAGTACCTCAGTAACGACATGGACCCAAACATCTGGTCAGATCTTCAGTTTTACTTTGTCGTCATGACGTCAAGAAAAAAAAGACGGAAATAAAAATGTATAAAAAAAAAACCCAATAGAACAGACTGTAACTGTAACTGACTATTTATTATCATTATTATTATTATTATCATTGTTATTATTATTATTATTATTATTAGTATTATTATTATTATTATTATTAGTATTATTATTATTATTATTATCATTGTGATTATTATTATTATTATCATTATTATTATTATTGTTATTATTATTATTATTATCATTATTATTATTATTATCATTGTGATTATTATTATTATTATCATTATTATTATTATTATTATTATCATTGTGATTATTATTATTATTATCATTGTGATTATTATTATTATTATCATTATTATTATTGTTGTTGTTGTTGTTGTTACTATTATTTATGTTTTTGTATTTTGTGTTTGCTGTCGTTTTTGACTGATGTCATAAATAGAAAAACTATTATATAAATATAAATATAAATATAAAAATAAACCTAAATATTGCACAATATATCTGGAATAAATGACAACGCTAGGGGGCGCTCTTCATTTCTCTTCAGTTTTGACTAAAGCTAGCTGTTGACATTTCTTCTTTTTCCCAGCATGCTCCCTGAGTCTCCGCCGGACTCGAGTTCCGAGGCCTGTTCTCCTGCTCAGTTCCCTGGTAAAGTTCTTGATGGTTCTGTGAACTCGGTTACTCGGACCGAGTTAGTCCACCCTGACCTTGATGGTTCATTTAAACCAGGGACTCATTGAACCAGGTTCAACCTGTTGGTCTAGCTGCACCCATGTTCGGACCGGGTCGCTGACGTGGACCGGGTACCTGACGTGGACCGGGTCACTGAGGTGGACTGCACCGGGCCACCGAGGCGGACCTGGTCGCTGACGTGGACCGGGTCACTGACGTGGACCGGGTCACTGAGGTGGACCGGGTCACTGAAGTGGACCGGGTCACTGAGGTGGACCGGGTCACTGAAGTGAAAGTTCATGGAAACATTTGTGATAAGAATTAATTCAACAAATTTTTCCAATTTCCATTGTTACAGATCTGAACCGGGAGCAGCCGTACTGGGGACACCAGCGCCCCCTCCAGGAGGAGTTCCAACTGCCCAGTCAGTCTGTGGCTTCAACTTCCTGTTCCTTTAAAGATTGTAACTTTGACCCAAACCACCGTGACATGTTGACCTACAACCAGTTACGTCACCTGGGCCTCACCAACACCCACCTCAAACCTGGGACGCCCCCCGTCCTCCCCGTCCTCCCCGTGCCCCCCGTCCTCCCCGTCCCCCCCCGCCTCGCCTCCGG